TTATTCCGCAAACATATATTCATCTCTAGTGTTTGCAAGCCACCTTAGGATATGTTGCAGAGGATATTTGAGAAGCAAAATATGGTCCCTAAAATTAAAGAACTTGCAATCTTAGTTTTATCTACTCTGATTATACAGGAAACAAAGTGGTTGTCTAGAAAATCTTTGAAAAGGCCACAAATAACATTTCAGCAAATAGTCAAGTACTTATTTTTGTGACTCTTGTCAGGCCTTGTATGAAGCAGGAGAAAGAAGAAAAGGGACAGATGTGAACGTCTTCACTACCATTCTTACCACAAGAAGCTATCCCCATCTCCGTAGAGGTAAGTGGGAAAAAGAAGTTGATTTCTGGAGTCTGATTATAGAAGATGCAAATTTCATTGTTTGAAGAGAAATAAGGACAAGGAAAGAAAGAAATCTTAATGTCAGTCTAACACTAACTAGGTGCTCTCGACCCATTATTGCTATTTATCCATTTGTCCACCTTAGACAGCCATCATTTTCGTAGTATTTGAAATTGTATTTTAGTAATCATTTTGTGACTTTGCCATGTGGAGCATCCTTTCATTATTTCCACTCTTTCTCTTCCTTCTAAATTTGGAGCAGATGTGACAAAAGACACAAACACAATAGAACAGATGACATTATAGTTTATTTTTTTCTTTTTAAAGCAGGTATAAATGAAGAAAAGTATATGTAGGTGCTTTCAGAAACAATAACCCCAAAAAATGTTCATATGTTTGGGCACATGTTTTAGCTCTGAGCCTCCTGGAAACCAATATTCAGGGAAAGTCATGATGATTAAATGAAGTCCATTATCTTATCATACTCCAAAAAAACAAAAGAAAGCAAAAACTAAAACCAAACTCACTGCTGTCGAGTCATTTCTGACTCAGAGTGATTGATTTTTAATTTTAATCTTATGAGAAATTTACAACACAAATCTTTCTATAATGGAAGATTTATTTGCCATGCCACTTAGCTCTGCTGTGATAAATGTTATGGCTGTCAGTCACATGCCATTTTAAAAAATCTTTAACACTTAACAAAATTTCACCAAAATAAACAGGAATAACTGGATGAATTAATTTTCTACAGTCCTAGAAGAAGATGAAATACCCATACTGTATTCAATTGAATAAAAAGCTTTAAGAAGTGTGCCATGAATTTCAGTCATCCCAAGAAATTCTTGAGTCAGTTGTTCTAATTTTGTTAATGTTTGCTAAAGAGTAGAATGTTTTGCACATCTTTTAGTTTACATTTAATGTTCAGTGTTTCAGAAATATACCAAGTACAGTAAGCATGACATGAACAAAGTTCTGGACCTGGAGCTGAAAGGTGACATTGAGAATTGCCTCACAGCTATTGGTATGTAATCTTGAAGTTGTAACATTTTTTATAGTTTGAAATTGTATTTTCAATGATGCCCCATACTTAAAAAAAAAGGAATAATCCCCTCCCAAATACTCACATACATCTGTATTTCAGGTTGAGATAACAAGTAAGATTATAGCAAAGAATATTTAGCTAAAGGTATATGAGAAGCTTCGTAATGATAGCGGGTATTTTCTCTTTGGAATGGTGTAAAGCATGATTGAGCACCTACTATTCCAAGCATAGAACTAGGCTGAGAACTGCACAGGGGTAAAGCAGAGTGGTCATTGAGAGCCTGGGGTTTGGAATTAGGCGAATATAATTTCAAATCCTGGTCCTGCTCTTTGCTGGTTGTATGATCTTGGGCAAGTTCCTAAAATTCTGAGTCAGTAGATCTGGGGCGGCTTCAGAAAATGTGGTTTTTAAATTCCTCCCATATATTCAGTCAACCAGTCAGAATCTTTAGAACCTGTGTTCTGAAGCAGGGCTTCTCAAATATTACTGTGAACAAGAATCTTCTGGAATCGAGTTGAAAGGCAGACTCTGATTCAGTAGGTCCGGGGTGGGCCCGGGACTCAGCAATTTTGATCATGTTTTGAGTACCAAGGTAAAGAACATTGAAAAAGCAAACAAAAAAACCAAACTTACTGCCCACAAGTTGTTTCTCACTCATAGCGACCCCTCCTTGGGTTTCCAAGGCAGTATCTTTATGGAAGTAGATTGCCCCATCTTCCTTCCAAGGAGTGGCTGGTGGGTATGAACCACCGGCCTTCTGATTAGCAGTCAAATGCCTTAGGCACTACTCCACCAGAATTTTAGGACTTGACAAATCTGTTAGTATTTTATTTTGGCACCTCTGGTACTGTAATGCCTAAGGCATTTGACTGCTAACCAGAAGACTGGAGGTTCAAACCCACAAGCCACTCCTCAGAAGGAAGGTTGGTCAATCTATTTCCATAGTGATACCACCTCGGAAATCGAAGGAGGGGTCTCTGTGAGTCGGATACAACTCGAAGGCAGTGAATTTTGAGTTATATTTAAAGCCTGGCCTACCCTAGGACATTATTTTTATTACAACATTAAGAAAGTACTTATTTGTATGCTAACATTCCTTTAACCCTACTTGTTTATTTCTAAGGAGAATATACTTAAAACAGCAGTAGCTATTGAATTTGCTACTGTGGTGGTTAAAAGTAATGGCAACTAGGTGATGTTTGTTAGGGAATATCCAAAACCACCATCTAGAGAGTAACAAATATCTTGTTTAAAATCTGCTATCCCTTTTTTGGGGCTGGGGTGGGGGTAGCTTTAGGAATTGGAATGACAAATAGATTTTTGATAGTAAAACTGTATTACCTTTTAGCAAGCATGTTTCATTTTTATAGGTGGTAAATATGTCAGCTAAAATTTGTCTCTCTTGCAGTGAAGTGTGCCACAAGCAAACCAGCTTTCTTTGCTGAGAAGCTTCATCAGGCCATGAAGGTATCATTCTACTTACATGATTTGCTTGTTGTTGATAGGTCCCTTCAAGTTGGTTCTGACACATAGTGACCCTAGGTAGAACAGATAAAACATTACCCAGTTTGTACCAGCCTCACAATCATTGCTAAGTCTGAGCCCATTGTTGCAGCCACTGTGTCAATCCATCTTGTTGAGGGTCTTCTTTTTCACTGACCCTCTAACTTTACCAAGCATGATGTCCTCTTCCAGGTACTGGTCCCTCCTGATAACATGTCAAAGTATGTGAGAAAAAGTCTCACCATGCTTGCTTGTAAGGAGAATTCTGACTGCACTTCTCCCAAGACAGATTTTTTCATTTTTCTGACAGGCCAAGGTATATTTAATATTTTTCACCGACACTATATATGACTTGTTTAGTGGAAAAAAAAAAAAAAGATTGTTCATAGAGTGAAGGTCAAATAATCTCATATTGTTTGAAAGCCATACATGTATTAATACCTTCCCATTTAGAAAATCATTGTTCTATTCCAGTCAGTATTAATTAAAATAAAATTCTATTGGACCTGGTATTTTTTTTTTTAATAGGTAAGATTGTAAGGTGAACTTGTAAGTGATTTGCAGCATGATTTACTTGAAACCTAAGTACCTAAGTCAGCACGGGAAGAGTGACAAACATTCTTTTTTATTTGTGATTTTATAACCTGTTTCTGCTATGGTTGTGAGCTTTATGATCCTTCCCTTTCTAAGTTTCATTTTCTTTTTTTATTGTTCTGTCTTTTATGTCAGATTAATAATTGAATCTTTTAAATGTTATTCTGTGATTACTTAAAGTGAAGGTGTTATTAAGATATATCTGAGATGCCATTTCAATTTTGCTTTATTTTTTAACATGCTTAGTACTATATAGGATGCCACCTTCACAATTTCAGCTCCCAAATGAAGTTTCCTTTGCAACTTCAAAATAAGGAGATATTTAGAGAAAATGAACCATTCAGTTAATAATAAAACATCAGTATGAAATGATAGAACATTTTAGTTTACATAGAAGGTAGCATAGGCCGCCCCCATGTCTGCTTTTGTTTCGTGGGATTTTAAGATGGGTAATGATGACACTTGGTAATACTGGAAAGGAGAAGAGGATCATCTACTTCTCACTTTGGAAATCGATGGAGTCTTTCTGTCAGCTAAAGTAAGACCTAAAGTTTGATAGGGATTATCCAGATGAGGATAAGGGTGGAAGAGATGAAGGAATAAGGAAGGATGGTCTAGCAGGAGGAAACCCTATGCACAAAGGCTTGCAGGTAAAACATACCACGATGCTTATGAGAAAATAAATAGCATAATTGCCATAGTGGAAGAAGAAGTTATACATTAAAAAAAAAAAAACTAAACTCACTGCCGTTGAGTCGGATCCGACTCATAGCGATCCCTCCTTAGGTTTCCGAGGCGGTTATCACTCCGGAATTACTCAGGGCATTTTAAACTGATAAATGAATAGTTTCTGTCCTAAGAGCAATAAAAGACCAAACCAAAAAAAAAAAAAAAAAAAAAAACCAACTCGGGGGGGGGCCAATTTGACTCATAGGGACCCCTCCTTGGGTTTCCGAGGTGGTATCTCCAGGGAAATAGATTGCCCAGTCTACCTTCCCAGGAGTGGCTGGTGGGTTTGAACCGCCAGCCTTCTGGTTAGCAGGCAAATGCCTTAGGCACTGTGCCACCAGAGCTCCCAATGAAGAATTTTAAATAAATGAATTACATCATTGGATTTGAAATTTAGGAAGTTCACATTATTTGGTATTTAATAATTTAGATATAGGGATGTAGCAATTGTTTTCTTGTACATGTGTATGTGTGTGGGTGGGCATATATTTTAAAGGAAATTCTATAGGTGAGTAAAAGGACTGTACTTTAAAATCCATATTATGCTTTACTAAGAGTATGCTCTGAATATGAGACGTTATTTATTTTAAACAGGGTGTTGGAACTCGTCATAAGGCATTGATCAGGATTATGGTCTCCCGTTCTGAAGTAGATATGAATGATATCAAAGCATTCTATCAGAAGATGTATGGTGTCTCCCTTTGCCAAGCCATCCTGGTACGTTGTAATTTTCATAATGCCACCCCCACAAATGTCTCTTCTTTTGGTGACTTCTTCAAAGAGAAGAACTGCCTCATTATGGACTGACTTATTATATCTGTAAATTTCATGTGCCAGCTTAATTTATTAAACTAGGATGCATAATTCACAAGTAAACTAAAATTTCACTAGTGAAATATTCTAGTGAGTATTGTACTGAAATATTAGATACATTTTCAACCGAAGTCTTGAAAATACTCAGTTTCCCATGCATAAATTTAGCAACCAAATATTTTAGAGTTTTTGCTAGTGTAAATGTTGTTTGTTGTTGTTGTTATGTGCCATCGAGTCGGCCCCGACTCATAGCGACCCCTCCTTAGGTTTCCGAGGCAGTATCACTACGGAAGTAGGATTGCCCAACCTTCCTTCCGAGGAGTGGCTAGTGTAAATAGATATCATTTATTTTACAACAAATATTGATGACAGGATTAGAAATTTATTATACTAAATTTTGTTTTTCCTCATTTTTTCAAATGTAAAAAGTATAATATACATATTCAAGTTAACATATTATAATGTTAAAAAGTTAAAAGTCAAGAGTTTTAAACATCTTAGAAGATAAAAAACTGTTTCAATTTATTATTATACTGAACAACTGTAATCTACCAAGAAAAAGTGAAAAAAAAAATCATAGGCTTAAAGTATTCCCTCTTTTTGCTGAGTGAGTCTCATATCTCCTCATATATTATATGAGATTATACTGTGCTACACTAAATTCAATTCTGTGTGATATTACATATCATTCTTGGAAGTTAATAACTCTAATATAAAATGTACTCAATTCAGAACAATTTGTAATCTGAATCTTGATTGCTGTACCTTTTGTACAATAACGAAGTATAAATATCAGTTATCTGTCATACATATTATCTAATTAAATTAATATTTTTATCAAAGTTTCCTGATTCTTGATATACTGTGATGTATGATCTATAACAGTTAAACTTACTAATATTATAATTCTATAAGTAAAGATAACTTATAGTGGTTATGGTTTAGGTAGCATTAAATGTGCTCTATTTTTGAATCAACAGGATGAAACCAAGGGAGATTATGAAAAGATCCTGGTGGCTCTGTGTGGAGGAAACTAAACATTCCTTTGCTGTTCTCAAGCATTTTAACCAGAAGACTTTTTAATAAGATCATTTTATTCTCTATCATAGGCTTAAGTAGGAACATTTCTTCAGCAGGATTACAGTCTAGCTATCTGCCTTCTGAAAAATTATAGCCTATAAAGCATTTTTTTATTGTAATTCTGTATAATAGAGCTAAGATTTTTTAAAAACATATTTGCCCCAAACCATAAAACCCCATAAACAAACTGTTCTAGTAACATTCCTTGAGGGAGTTGTTTATGCAGCTAAAAATAAAATGAACTTAAAGAACAATTGGTGTGTTACTGGCTTTTCTATTCTAATTTTTTTTTATATATGTAATGTAGTGTCTTAATCTGACATCAAGAGACAACAGCCTGAATCTTAAATTAAAATTATTTAAAGATTTAAATAATGATTTAATGATTTGAAGAAAATATTCATAGAATTAGAAAATGTACTCCAATCAGAAAATGGGCTCTGGGTAGTAATGGATTTACTCCACCAGCATTATAACACTGTACCTGCTGCTCTATCTCAAAAATCAGTTTGAAGATGCAATGGCAATACCTATAAAAATTTCTCACTTTTTATAAATGATAGTTGCATGTTTAGTTTTTTCCTAAAATTGCTTGTACCACTTTACCACCAGCAACATATGAGTGATCCAGTTTCTGCACTCCTCACCAGTATTTGATATCATTGCTTTTTTCTTTCATTGTTTTAGTTGTTGAGTTCTGAGTTCTCCTTATATATTCTAAATACTATCCCCATGCTGAATATCTTATTTATTGACATTTTCTCTCTAGCGTCAACTCTTCATTCTCTTAATAGATTATTTTGCGGAAAAAACTTAATTTCCATGAGGTGCAGTTTATCAATTTATTTCTTTTCCAGATCATGTTTTTGGGGTCATCTATTAACTCTTTGCCTGACCTTTTAAACCAGAAAACAAGCTCACTGCCATCAAGTCAATTCCAACTTATAGTGACCTCCATT